AAATGTGATAAGACCTCCAAGAACCTTCTCCTGGGTCTTCTAGCTCTTTATAATAAGCTCTCAGAATGAGTCTTTCACAGCAATCAATGCCCAGGAAAGGGCCAAAATCAAGTAGCTTTGTAAACCACAAAGAGGATTCATATATTCTCTTAGAAAGTTCTAGCAACAGTCTCAAATTACCTAAGGCAGGGCATATTTAGGCCTTAAAATTACTTTCAGGTTAGTTTCAAAATTTTGGATTGCACATCTGGTTTCCCACTTACATTATCACCCTGTACTTCTAGGTCGGGAGTGGCTAACTGGCAGCTGTCACCTGACTGGGCTTTGTTTGGCTACTTTGTCCTCCTGTGCAGTGTTACAAGAGTCTGTGTAACTAGGCAGGTACTGTGCCTTCTTGGTCTGTTATGCTAGCTGTATGCTCCTATAGGCAAATCAACACCCTTACCTTGGTCTTAGGTTGAAAAGGAAGAGATTTAGGACTCTCTCCCCTATTCTCACTGAGGAATGAGAGGCTATCACAATTTACTTGTCACATGCCATGAGACAATACGTGTGTGTCAAATGAATAGATGGCACATATGAGGCAAGGAGTCAAGGCAAGAAGGAGTTCTGAAGCTGGGCAGGGTTAGAAGGGACCCAGCTTATTTTAGAGAAATTGATGCTCGTCTTTGAAAAATATGAGCTGTCATTTCTCTTCACATCCATTTCTAATCCCATAACAATGTAGAAAGAGCTAGCCATAGTTAACTATTTTAATATAATATATGAAGCCAACCTTCATATATTGAAGGTATGCCAGAGCCTTAGGAAAGGCTAGAGCAGGACACTCCATGAGATCTTTTTTTTTTTTTTATTGAGACAGAGTTTCACTAGGTCACCCTCAGTAAAGAGCTGTGGCATCACAGCTTACAGCAACCTCAAACTCTTGAGCTTAAGTGATTCTCTTACCTCAGCCTCCCAAGTAGCTGGGACTACAGGAGCCCGCCACAACACCAAGCTATTTTTTTTGTTGTTGCACTTGTCATTGTTGTTTTAGCTAGCCTGGGCCAGGTTGAAACCCACCAGCCTCAGTGTATGTGGACGGCACCCTACCCACTGAGCTATGGGTGCCACCAGCCTGAATCATGTATTATTTATGCTTTGAATTAAAATAACTATTATTAAAATAACAGAGAGGGCTGGGTGCAGTGGCTCATGCCTGTAATCTAGAGGGTTGCTTGAGGTTAGGAGCTAATGATCAGCCTGAACAAGAGATCCCATCTCTACTAAAAATATAAAAAAATTTAGCCAGATTTAGTAGCACACACCTGGGCCCAGGAGTTTAAGGTTGCTGTGAGCTATAATTGTGCCACTACACTCTAGCTGGGGGTGACAAAGTAAGATATTCATCTAAAAAAAACAAAAAATGCAAATGACTCAATGTTTGACATTCTGTTGTAGGAAAAAAATCTGAAGACGTAAGAAGTACACAGAAGGAAAATGTTATTTAGCACCTTCACTTTTTGATCCCTACAGAAGATAAGGACAAGTCACACTGTAACAATGACGACGACTTCAGTCGGCAGCTGGCCTTACTCTTCCCATGGAACATACTTTATAACTAATCACAGCGACCCATTGCCAAAAAATTTCTCAGGAGCACCAAATGTTACTGCCTGTCCCATGGATGAAGCATTACTATCTACTGTGTTAACAACATTCTACTCTGTTATTTTCATTGTGGGACTGGTTGGGAACATAATCGCCCTCTATGTATTTCTGGGTATCCACCGCAAAAGAAATTCCATTCAAATTTACCTACTGAATGTAGCCATTGCAGACCTCCTACTCATTTTCTGCCTCCCTTTCCGAATAATGTATCACATTAACCAAAACAAGTGGACACTAGGTGTGATTCTGTGCAAAGTTGTGGGGACACTATTTTATATGAACATGTACATTAGTATTATTTTGCTTGGATTCATCAGTTTGGATCGCTACATAAAAATTAACAAGTCTATACAACAACGGAAGGCAATAACAACCAAACAAAGTATTTATGTTTGCTGTACAGTATGGACAGTTGCACTTGCTGGATTTTTAACCATGATTATTTTAACACTTAAGAAAGGAGGGCATAATTCCACAATGTGTTTCCATTACAGAGATAAGCATAACGCAAAAGGAGAAGCAATTTTTAACTTCATTCTTGTGGTAATGTTTTGGCTAATTTTCCTACTAATAATCCTTTCATATATTAAGATTGGTAAGAATCTATTGAGGATTTCTAAACGGAGATCAAAATTTCCTAATTCTGGTAAATATGCCACTACAGCCCGCAATTCCTTTATCGTACTTATCATTTTCACTGTATGTTTTGTTCCCTATCATGCCTTTCGATTCATCTACATTTCTTCACAACTAAATGTATCATCTTGCTACTGGAAGGAGATTGTTCACAAAACCAATGAGATCATGCTTGTTCTCTCATCCTTCAATAGCTGCTTAGATCCAGTCATGTATTTCCTGATGTCCAGTAACATTCGCAAAATAATGTGCCAACTTCTTTTTAGACGATTTCAAGGTGAAGCAAGTAGGAGTGAAAGCACTTCAGAATTTAAACCAGGATACTCCTTGCATGATACATCTGTGGTCCCCCAAAATGCAATTTAGTTCTAAAAGTACATGAGATAGATGTAAGAATGATACAATATAGCTTCCTAATTCTTTTACTAACTAAACAAAGCTCTAGCATTTACAAAACTCGGCTCTTCTCAAAGGTCTGTTTATATTTGTGGCATTTCATTTGTTTAATTATAAACTATTTCAAGGCAAAAAAGACTTATATTCATCATTATATTTTAAATCTGTATATAAAAACTTTTAAAAATACTTGGTTAAGCTAACACTCTTAACATAGATCATAAAGTTAAGTGAAATTCATAGCTTTAACAACAAAATAATTAAAGGAAGTACCATAGTTTCTCAAGTCACTAAAGTAGTTATTAAAATCAAGTACTTGATACTAATTTAAAGTGTGTATAAAAGTAACTGATTTGAAGACTGACTTAAAATGTCAAAAAATTAATGTTCATTTATCATTTTAAAAGCTTGTATAATTTGCCAATGTGTTCATTTATGCCTAAACCTCTATAAAAGATAAAATGATAATAAAATTCTAATAAAATGAGATCACCCACTATCTATTATTGCTTAGATAAAAATGTAGAGAATTTAAATACTGTACAGTAAAAATCAAATAATAGACGAGCTAAGAATTCAATAGCCTAGCACTAGGACTTAAAACCTTACCTTACTTAAAAATAGATTTATAAACAATTCAGTCATCACAGCTACATGTTCGTCACATAAAAAATGTACATATCTTATGATCTGGTAAATCTATTATATGGTATATACCTTATAGAACTGGTCAAATATGTATTCAAGAAAATATATATAATGATGCTCAGGAAGCTACTGTTCATAATACTAAACAATTGGAAACAATTAAGTATGTATCAGCAAAAGTATGGAAAACTAATGTGGTTTATGGAGTACCACAAAATTGAGTACTATATAACACATCAACAAAGTGTACTATATTCACATGCATCAAATGGGGCTATTTCAAATATAATGTTGAGTAAACAGAGACATACAAGATTGCAAAATGGTATGTACCATGTAAAATCATTTATGTATAACAAAAAACATAAAACAATATATTCTTTACAGACCTATACGTATACAATAAATAGAAAATATACATGGTAATATATATAAGCACTAAAAATTGTTTGTTAATATCTGGAGACATGTGAAGCAAACATGGCAAAATGCTAAATCTGGGTGGTAGGTACATGGTTATTGTATTATTTTTGGTAAATTTCTGGACATTTGAAATATTTTGTAATAACAAAGAAACCTGTAAATTAGAATTAAAAAGGAGAAAACTTTAATTTTCATGTATGTTCAAAAAATAAGTGGACAGTAAATTCTTAGAGAAAGGGATCTTTGTCTTGTTTAGCAATTCCCTGAAACTTAGTATAATACATTATGTGGCACATAGGGGATCAACATATGTTTATTGAAGAATTGGATGAATGAATGAAAGGATGGATGGATGGATGAGATAGGGAGGAAAGAGTCCTTACAAGAAAAAAATTGCATGTACTTATCTTTTTTTCTAATAAATCTATCTGGATATAGCTGTATAGAACATCATACAATCATAACCTAGGAAGCTAGGGGGTATCATTAGGCAAACATTTTTGAAAGTCTGGCCAGCATTTGTCCAATTCCTTGGTCATATACAGAATCAGAATGCTGTTGACTGAATATGTAAATGTCTGTTATGACAAACTCCATGGACCCATTCATAAGTTTCTATCACTGATTAGAAAAAATTTTTCTAGTCAGAATATCTGTTAAAACTTAAGGTAGGCCACTGGCTGGGAAATCAATATGAAAGAACATGAAGATTTTTATTATAGTTGAATTTATTTTAATAAGATTTGGTTTGTACACAGCGATCAGTTAACTATATTCCAGTAAGTGCACACAATTGGTTGAATAAAACTAGATCAAAGCAAAAGTATATATTTTTTGAAAGTTACTTTTGAGGATAAAAATTGAAATTTGCAAGGCTGGGTGTGGTGGCTCACACCTGTAATCCTGGTATCTGGAAGGCTGAGGCAGGTGGATTGCCTGAGTTCACAGGTTCAAGACCAGCCTGGGCCAGAGTGATACCTCATCTCTAAAAATATCTGGGCGTTGTGGTGGGTGCCTGTAGTCCCAGCTACTTGGGAGGATGAGACAAGAGAATCCCTTGAGCCCAAAGTCTGAGGTTGCTGTGAGCTATGATGCCATCACACTCTACCGGGGGCAACAAAGTAAGACTATCTTCAAAAAAAATTATATTGTTTTGCTTTGCCTTGACAATATTAACAAATTTATCTGAATGAAATTCAGCATTTCTACATTATGTGATTTTAAATTATGAAACTTTATTTTTTCCTCATGTCCTTAAAATTAAAATTTTTTTTTTTTTTTT